CAAGTATTAGTTCTGCAGCTGAAAAAGCAATTGTTGTTGATAGTGGTCGAACGTACGTTTTTATCGCTTGTTTACGTGATTTATTACCAGTTTATTTTGTTGAAAAGATGTCTTCATTAGAAATACACGATTATACTGCATGTGACGATCAAAATCGAGATGTGTTTCGAGAGATTAAAAATGATATTCTCAGATCAATACCAAAGCATCGGCCTAGTTTCCAAAATAACCAGATTGACGAAATGGTTGCGAGTGTACGAAGTGACATGATTACCCGCCAACAAAATGATAGTGTTAAGTTACGATGCGGCGAGCCGTGTCCACGTTGTAAAATTTCGTGTCACCTGGATGCCGGCCATAATTCACAGAATTCTGAAAGAAAATACTCGGGCACTGTAACAACACCCACGTTATTTACAATTACCGCTGTAACAAAGCAACTATTGAAAATATCAAAAAAATTAAGCTCAGAACGCTTTCGAAAGCACGATTCATGCCATCAACCGATTGGTTTAGCGGGAGGGATTTGGGATAGTCATTCGCTATACCCCGGACAGTTATGTGCACCGAACTGTGCAATGCAGTTAAGAAACAGACAGTGTTTTATACATGATAACGCAAGTCACCCATATGTAAAATTTAACATTGTCTATCCTGAATGGCGTTTGCCCTCTATGGAACAGCAAGAAAGTTTGAAACTAAGAGAATATATATTTTATAATTATCAACTCCAACTAGCTGCAGCTTATTCTGTATTGTCCTGTTCGAATATTCCACCTGAATATAATCACACGTTATCGACTATTAAAAGACAATTAGAAAATATGATTGATGGTAATTCCAGTGATTGAACATCACATGAATTTTCATAAATTTTCATGTTATTCATGACCATTTATTTGTAGTTAATCTCGACTTTTATTGTACTCCAAGTCTTTTCATATGTCTACTAACTTATTATTTGCCTCATAATCGAGAATTTTTGATGATATTAATAATTCATATAGCCTAGATTTCTATGTGAGGTGTGTGAATGAACAGGAGTTAAGGGCGCCCGTATCCTCCTCAGAAATTATCTTGGACACCGTACATCCGATCTTGACAAAACTTTCCATAAGTATTAAGCGCACTAAGTTACGGAAACGAAAATCGTTTTTCGTCTCCAAGTCTTACCGCCTAGGAGTTTGGCAGAGATCAAGTTCCAAAAAGGACTCTGAAGTATTTCTCAAGATTTTTTAATATATTTCGAGCTAGAGAGTTCGGGTTTGTTTTATTTTAAACTAGCACCTAACTACATGACCGCGCCGATTTGTCAATTAAGCCTTTATTCGTTTTGTAGACAATCAACAACCTCAAAACCACGAAAAACTCTTCCAGGTTTTCTAGAAATCCTCAATTTGAAAAAAAGCTAAGACCTAATTGAAAAATTGGGGCCGGTCAGCCCGTGTAGTTATGGTGTATAGTTTAAAATAACTCTCTAGCTTGACGCAGATTAAAAAATCTTGGGAAATACGTCAGGTGTAACTGATATGTAGAGAAAACGCTGTATAAAATGCTTAATTTTAGCATTGTATGGAAATGCTTGTAACTTTCTGACACCGGTCATACAGAGCTGTGCGAGGTCATATTTTGATCAAAAAAGTTTGCTCTATACATCTACGCGTAGAGAAAAATATTGTAACTGTACAAGTATCCAGGAAAAACTATTATTTGAAGACACGATTTTTCGAGGCTCCAAGAAAACTTGCTCGAAAGTCACGAAAGACCACTTCTCTAATCGAAAGCGATACAGATTTCGAAAGTAGATACTTCAGACTATCTTTCCAAGTGCTTATCGTAAAATCGATTTTTTAACCGAGAATCATCATTTCTGAGGTGTGCCCTTAAATTAGACAGAAGAGTTTCAACCTTTTCCCGCTTCTCGAGTAAACAATTTTCTACCAACATGTGTACTTGTTCAGTTTTCGCCGGCCTGTTTTCACTCTTCTAGACATGCTTTCAGATAGCTCCAAAATCGATTTTTGAAGTTGTTTGTACAACAGCTGTATTTTCATAGCAAATCAACGTCCAGAGCCGAGACCCTTTTCATTTTGTGGAGAAATGTTTAATCTACTTAATTATCTGGTTTCAGTTTGAGATTATTTTCTAACTTTATTGCCATAGTTCTTTGAAAAAGAAGAGACAACACAAGGCTGTACGACAACAGAAGGCTGTAAGGAAAGATATAGGCCTGCAACGGTTACGATTAACCGTAACCGTAAATAACCATGGAACTACTGATTTGGGAGATCGCTTTTACCATGATATAGATCGATATCTTTCTTTACAGCCTTCTGTTGTCGTACAGCCTTG